GATCTCCGGTACCAAAAAAAAAAAAAACCAGGGTTGGGGATGCTGGAGATATAGCTCTGTGCAAATGCCCTAAATTCAATCTCCAGTACTACCAAGTTTCTCACCAAAGAACTTTGCAAGCACAAGGTCCCGAGTTTGATCCCCGGTACCAAAAAAAAAAAAAGACTAGGGGACACAATCTATGTCAGGAGCCATTTACTCCTTGTCCATAAGAGAGGGGCTATTTTCCGCTCAGCAACTATTTTCTGTTCTACCTCTAGTACTTGATAATGTCCAACTATCCAAATTTTACACATTTCCAAAAATCAGTACTGGACCAAGAAAGGACCAACCTCAGAAAAAGGGACCACAGTAGTACAAGAGTTGCTTTGTTGTTTAAGTGCACCTTCCTCAGATGTCTTTGCCCTTCATTTCAAAGAGGAGGAGAGCATCTGTGACCGGGTTCTGCTAGAGGTGCTCTGGCACTTGTCTATTCTATCATGTATGTTTTGGGGATGCTGGGGATTGAACACCACCATGCACAGTATCACTTAGCTGTACTGTCACCAACTCTACCCCTTATTTTTACAAAGAGTCAAATGTGGAAGGAGCAAAATTCAGTAACAGGATATTACAAGCGAAAACTCAAGTTGTGATGTGGCATTGTTCTGAAAAAGCAGCAGTATTTCCACATTTCTTTTCCTCTATGTTCCAAAGAAACCTAATCAGGGCTTCACACAACCAAGAGCATTATTTCTGGGGTAAAGAAATGTTTATCATGTGAGAAGGCCCACTTAATTTAGAACTAAAAGAGAAAAAATATAGGATAGACTAACAGTACCAAAATAGATCTCTCTGAATGGCCTTATCTTGAAAGATGGGGGTAGAGTGGGGACAGGCACACAGAAATGGAACCTGCTCTACTCACTACAAACAAATGCCAACAATCACAGCTACTTAACAGTCAATGAGCAGAGAGCGGTACCCTCTGGTTCATTGTCAATGACCGTAGGCACCAGCAGAATGATGGTACACACAATAGCTCCTGATTTACAGGGGTTGTTGCTAACTCAAGTGGTTTTAATGATTTTAAAATACTTAACAACAAAAGCTCCAACCAAGGAAGCCAAATCTGGGCTAGGACAAAATCCATTCTGCCTAACCCTGAAATGATGATGCTGGAATAGCAAAAAAACCCAACCCTTATCGGCATCTAGGAAGATGAAAAGAGCCTACAAAGACAGAACCACTGTGTTATTCATCAATTATATTGTCCTACCATCCTTCTACAAAAAAACCTGGGGTCAACAGCCCTCATCATCATATTTTCATAAAGTAGACAAGCTTCAAGCTTCATTTGGCACTTTAAAAAAACTCTGACATAGGCACTTCTGTATTAGTCACGTTGCCTGCCATATTTCAGTTCCCAAATTATTCCTCTCAAGTTTTATATTGCATCATACAACTTTAAATTTATCTTCTCAACCACCAATCACCGTCTAAACACACAAGCCATTCAAACAGAGACTCCTGAGGCCTCCACTTTGTTACCTTCTTGGTCTAAGTCAGGAAGAAGTACCATGAAATATTAGGAACATCACCATTTTGGGGTCCTCTACTACAGACTGCCCAGGTCACAAAACTGAGTAAAGGCTGAATCTAAGAGGAAAGATCATTTTCACCCAATGCCTCTATAAAATTATGCCTCGTTCAGTGTGCCACTCATTTAACAAACAGCAGGCCTGAAAACTAAGAGCACCACACACAAGTGATTAGTAGAGATGCAATTGTTAAAAGCTCCATCAAAGATGCTACAGAGTCTTTAGAAATGTTGAGATACATAATAGGTACAAATGAATGCAGTCATACATACATGCTAAGGCCTCTGCTGCTGTTGCTGCTTATCTGTAGACATTGCAGACAGCTCAGGTTTACCACAGCTGACAGGCAATGAAAACAGTCTAATATACCGCCTGCTCTTGCCCTTAAATCCCTTTTTGGAGATCAAGATAAACACTTTCTTCCTTTCCCCAGTGCTCCAGACATTTGACTGAAGTGGCAGAGCATTGTGAGGTTTTGTGCAAATGAAATCACTATGTAATACTGAATGAGTGTAGTATTTACTTGTCAGGATATTTGTCAGCATAGGCACTGAGATTTTCAAGTTTCATAGATGCAACTTAACTCAATTTTTAAAAAATTGCTTTTGTCCTGATAAACACATTGTATTGGGAACCCTTAGACTTACATACAAATATTTGCAATCGTGTTATAAGATGTGAAAAATAATGATGCATACTGATGACAGGATAAGAAAGGAAATCTGCTGCTTCCCCACCTTTTTAAACAAACCTTAGTGGGTCAAGGAATTGTCTATTTAAAGAAGCAAGAAGTATAAAATTCCTCCTGCATCTAAGAACTGGCTACACAA